TCACATCATGATGTATATTTCCATTAAGCTTTGTTAATTACTTCTACGTAGATTTTTTCTTAACTCTAATATTAGTTTTTTTCTATAATTTTTTTTTTATAAATTACATTGCTTTACAAAAAAATATTTCTTTATTATTTTGAACCAGAAAAGATTTTTTCTATAAATTTTTTCTATAGATTTTTGGATGTCGATTTTGGAAGTCTAATTTCATTAGTGCGTCAGGTTTCCAAAATAATTGAGATTTAATACGCAAAAGAATGACTTTGTGAAAATTAAATCTCAATTATTTCGATAATCTGAGTTGAAAAATTTGGCGTGCGATATCTTTTCCAACATTCTATGAGAGACATCTTGTCTGATTCAAAGTAATTTTTTTATGTAAACTAGTATTCCTAGCAAACGAGAATGGATTAAAATGGATTGAAATTTTTTTCTATCCAAATGTGTATTTTAAATAGCAAATACTTTTTTGGATTTAATTGGATTCAATTAGACTCAATTAGATGCATTTGGATTGAAAAACTGCATTTCCTATTCAAAATTTTGAATTAAACAGTATTCACAACTGTGTTTGTACAGAAAAAGCTAATATTATTTTTAGATTGAAAGGCATAGAGATATGCTCCATGCAATTCCTATAAATGAATAAAAATGCATTTAGGATTGAAAAGCATTCATTTTAACATTCGTGAATCAATATATATATTTATAACATATTTATGATATATTTATGAAAATCTGAATCCATTTCAATTCATTTCAATCCATTTTCGTTTGCTGGGTTATTAATAAAAGTTATTACACGCAAAATTTTTTATTTTGTAATTGCAAATACTTTGTAAAATAAGTCCGATAAAAAACCCTTCCGTTCTCGGAGAACTCCCCGAGAGGTCATAAAATTTTTGTAAGCTTTATTTAAGCTTCGAAAAGAACTTGCACGGAACTCCTCGGAAACTCCTATGTCCGCTTTTATGAGTTCTCTAGGAGCTTCATTTTAATTCGCATTTTGTAAGCTCCTTAGAAGGACATAAACATGTATAATTATATATGAAATATGTCCATACATGTCCATATATGTTCATCCTTCCTTTTTTTTGTAAAATTATTTTTTAGTATTATCGAAATAATAATAGTCAAATGTCAAAACATAAAAAATAATTAAAGGGATAATTTTCGCATTGTTTGTTTTAGAAAAAAATGAGTTTAGAAAAATGTGCAAAATTGCTCATATATAATTATACATAATTTTATATATAATTATATGTAAGTAATTTTTTTACATTTCTCCAAACTTGATTTTTTCTAAAACAAATTACCTTTTTTTAATGTTTTCACATTACTATTATAATTTCTAAAAAATAATTTTATAAAAGAAAAAAGGATCTATAAAAGGATTTACATGTATGAACATATTTCATATATAATATACATGTTTATGAATATTTACCAGGTATGTAAATATGAAACCGGAATTTACCAATAGGTGGCCATAGCTGTCAATGTAGTTGCCGTCAGACCGCATCGTTGATGCCATTTCCTTGTTCTAACATCTGACAAAGATTTTCAACTCACAACAATACAAGTTTCATACAACAGTATAGTTTGTAATAGCGTTGAACATGTCGAATTTTGGGCCTGGAAACTACGATTTGCGGACAGCATTGATTTTCTGTTACCATTTGAAGAAAACTGCTGCAGAATCGCATCGAATGCTTGTCGAAACTTATGGTGAGTATGCTCTTGGTAAATCACAGTGCTTTGAGTGAATTAAAAAATTCAAAAGTGGCGATTTTGACGTGAGAAACGAAGAACGTGGAAAACCACCGAATATTTAATAAAGTTTTCAGCAAACATTTTAGAAATATTTATAAAATACTAAAAATAATTATTTATATTTATTATAAATATTGTATAAAACATTTAGTCTATATTTTAATAATGTTTCAAACGAGTCTTATATAAAATATGTATAAAATATTTATATATTTTTAAAAAATAAGTAATAAATATTTATAAATTATGTTAATATTATTAAATATTCTATATTGTATGAGAAAAATCTTTGCGTGAAATCGCACAATCATAATTAATTTTCCGTTTCAACAATTCTCTCATTATTAATATTAATTTAAGATTAAGTATATGCAACTTTTCTAATGACATATAAATTTATAATTCAATGTAAACCTGTTAAATTATAATATTTAAAACCAAATTCAACAAATAACACTTTCTTTAAATTACTAAAGAAAGAGAATAAACAGCAATACATAACTTTATTTTAATTAATGGCATTGCTGAAAACGAACTAAAAATTTTTTTTATTAATTTACATTAATGAATATTTGTTTCAAATGTTATTGGTACAACAAAGAACAAAGACTTACTTATATTTGTAAGTGTGATTTATTCATGATTGTTCATTTTTAGCAATTAGATCACAGTTGCAAAAATATGTATACATTGAATTAATTTATGTATATATGCATAAAATATAATTAATTGTCTTTATCAATAATATTAAACGCTTAATTAAAAAAAGTTCATGTCTAAACGATTAATTAATACATGAAAAATTATATATTATTTTATTCAAATAAATAAAAAATTATTGTCTTAATCCTAATTTTTTAAAGATTTAGAAAAAGTTTGTTTTACACAAATGCAAACTGGAAAAAATACAGAGTTGAATATTTTTAACTTAATTAACCTTTACGAATTACTTTCATTAATGGTAATTCATCTGTCCAATTAATATGTAAGATCAAAATTATCTTAATTAAAATTTGACAAACATCTCATTAAATTCTATATTAATTTGATGTTATTGTGTTATGACATTGTATATTATTTGGACAATTTAAAGAAAAGAATGTAAAAAAAGATAGTAAATGTATATCTAAATAAAATGAGAACTGTTAGTTTTATTTTTCTTTTTTTCCTTTTCAGACGATATTTTCAGACGATATTTTCACGTCGTTGTATATGAAAAATCATTAAACACAGCATAAATTACGGAATGACAAGTTTCTCCTTGAGTAAGATGTTTTGATAAACTTACAATTAGATGTAAATAAAAATATTATATAAATGTGACGTTTTTAAGAAAAGAATGTTAAAATTCTGCGTATTAAAATAGATCTTGACGTACCAAATAACACAAATATCCTTAAATTCGACTTGCTATTCAAAATTATTTAATTTTATAATTTATTTTATAATCTGATAGTCATTTAATTGATTTGTCTCTTAATTAATACTTCGTCTTTCTTTCGTAGAATAACAGTTACCTTAAATAATAAAATAAAAAATAAATAAAAAAAGGAAATAGCAAGAACAAATTATGACAAAAAAGATCCTGGAGATTAAAAAGATGCGCAGGTTGTTGGCTCGTTCGTGAGATAAATAGCACGTATTGTGACAACATGCGTATATATATTTCCTGCATGCAAATGATAGCTTAAACTCGAACGCGCACGCTTCTCATCTATACACCACGCGAATTTTAATTCCGCAAGTGATAATCACTGTAACAATTAAGCAACGGAATGGCACGGCCAAGGTCGTTCCCGGCTGCCGCCGATATAAAATTTTCTTTGTTACTTGGTCTTTGTCCTCTTTGTCCATAGTCCTCTCAGTCGCTACCACGGATACGATGTCACTTCCTTGTTTGTTCGATTCATGTCCATTAATTTCGTACGACGCGTGTTTTGTTAATCTATTGTGATTCGTATACTGCTCGAAAAAAGGATTAATGCCCGTATTTATAGTCAGACCTTATATTTAAGGCTTCCTTAAATTTATCTTTAGATGCTCAATAGCCAATGAAATAATTCGTAGAGTATCTAAAGATAAATTTAAGATCTTTATATTTAAAAAGCCTTAAATATAAGGCCTGACTATGAATATGAGTATTAGATAAACGTAACCTTCGTATAAGGAGCTATCGTAAAAGATATCCAAGCGTAATTACATTCAAAATAAACGTTGGAACGTATAATAATTATGAACTGAAAAATGAACATAAAATTTGATACGTTTTTTTAAAACTATTTAATCAATATTATAAAAACGTTTATGAAACGCGTAACATTAGCGTTTCAAAAAAATAAAATGAAGTTTTAGTTTACTTTTTCCATTACTGTGATAAAATAAAGATATATAAACATGCAGTAAATAACTATTGTATAATTATAATAATTATTCATTATATATTTTTATAAACATTATAATAATTATTATATAATTAGAAAATTGCTGATTCTATCTTTTATCCAAAATATTTTATAATACAATTAAATAAAAGAATTTAGTCAAAGCAAATCTAAATTCTTAAATATTTCTGTGCTCTGTGTGACTTTATATATACATATTTCATTTTACAAAGTACGTGAAAAATATTTTAGTATTTAGTAATTTATAGAATCAAATATGAATTAAACATATGATACTAATTCACACATAAATATTTAAGCATTTAGATTTGCATTTAGATTAAATAGAAAGTTTTTCATTTAATTACATTTATTCTCATTGTACAAATTCGTATCATATGTCTAATTCATAATATGTTAAAAAAATTTCATAAGCTAAATAGGTCTTTTTTATTCCTACATTAAATTACACTAGAGTTCTCTTTTTCGTTTTCGCCAAATATTAAATATACCGGGTGTCTCAGAGCACCAGTACCACCCTTTTAAAAGGTAGGGATGTGTTTGTACAAAAAAATGGTTCAGACAAAATTTGCAGGATTTCGGGAGATCTATCTGATGGTGACCTTGAATTTGACCTTGAGGTCGACCTTGGGCATAACTCAAGGTCAAAGTACCGTTTTACAAATGTAAACCCTTATTCATGACATCACAAATGAAAATAGCGGAAAATTTTACGTCCGAATACGTTATCAAGCCTAGGTCAAAATTACCCTTAGAGGTCATGTGGAGGTCAAGTTACTTTTAGACCCGTACCAACCTTCTAAAAGATATGGATGTGTTTGTACAAAAAATAGTTCAAACAATACTAGGTATTTACATAGCTATGATGCATCCATCTGCTGGTGAATTTGAATTCTACCTTTAGATTCATTTGTAGTCGTGTACATCGATTTTTAAAGATTCCTAATTATCAAGATCTTGAACAGTCGATGCCGCCTGTGTCAGCGTTACCCAAGATGTACCACGTGGAGGTCACAAGGTCGGACTTACACCTCGTCGGGGTGCTTTTTTAAGGTGGTTCCCCTTGCCGTCACCTTTGTTCGTACGCATGTGTTCAGTCTAGATTTTCGAAGTGTCCTCCACGTGCATGTATGCAGGCTGTTATTCTTCGTTGAAAATCATCCGTCACCCGACGAATTTCGACA